AGTTATGGGGTTTTATATTTAACCATAGCTTCTACTGGGAGTACCGGACGCTGTATTTTCCTTTTTTATTATAATGCGCAGGAATTCCGCCACTTACGAGTGTTTCTTTTATACTGGCACGGTTAGCTCCCGTGTTAGTACCCCTTTATTGGGGCAGGTTAGGGGGGAACCCGTTCGATATGTAATCAAATTACATAAGCAATGGAAATGTCTATTGAATGAAATGTGTGTTGTATGCTTGTAAACATGCGCAACAAGGTAAGTTGTGTGATTCTAGGATGTATGCATGTTAGTGTGAATCGTTTACGCTTATGTACTCAGCATTGCTGATTGTGTGTATTGTATGTTTGTTTGGCCTTGTCTTTATCTTGGCCCTACGATGATCCATTTCTAATGGCGAGTAGTGGGGACAAAGTAAAGAGGAGCTTTTTAGGTGATGGATCATATTCATGATGGGCATGAGTGAAGAGCGAATCTTATTTAGTTTCCATAAGAATATGATGTGTTTAATTTGCTTTAATTATTATATATTTGCTTGTGAGACTAACGTAATGATTTTAATATTCGTTTGGGTTTTGAAAAGGGCCTACAATGGTTCCAAGTTGTAGGTTGTCTACGTTTGACTTTGGTTTGACTTTACTTTCGTTTGGTTGACTTTTAAGTGTTGGTTTTATTTTTGAATGGTTTTTTAAAACAAGTCTTCTACTGTATGTCTTTGATAATTTCCTTAGCCGTTTTCACGGTGTCGGTAATGTCTTAGAGTTTCCTATTTAGTATTTTAAATAGGGTAAAACAAGTATTTTGAAGGAAAAGAATTTTTAGGGTGTTACACCACACCACCAACTAACCCACCAAAACCAAATTCCAACCCTTATCACCACCACACCACCAGCCCCCTAACCACCACCACCACCACCACCAACCATCTCTAACCCACCTTTTTCCACCCTTTTCCCACTGCCCAAACCCACAAGCCTTTTCCCACCAAACCGCAATACCCAGTAGCCTCACCACCACCCACCTGCCCCGAAAAACCCTCCCAACCCCAAATCCCCACCTACCCCAAACCCTAACCGACCACCAGATCCCCACCCATCCCAGCCTAAACCCTAACCGCACACGAAATCGCACAACATAAAAAAGAAAACGTACCCACCACCACCAACCACCACGGCTTCCTCCTTTTCGCCGGCAAACCCAAAAATTAAAAAAAAAAAAAACACAAAACACAAAACGTATCACCACCGTAAAACCCAAAAATTAAAGTTAAAAAAAAAACAAAAAAATTAAAAACACAAATACATACCTTAAATCTTGAATTGACTTTGAATTTAACCTTGAATTTGGTTTAATAAGGCCAAATTTGACCATGAAAACACTAGATCTAGTGTTTCATGGTCGAATTTGACCTTAAAAACACTAGATCTAGTGTTTCATGGTCAAATTTGACCTTAAAAAACCCTTAATTTGTTTAACACCATCCTTAAAGCCAAACCGACCACCAACCGAAATTTTCGGCGAATATTTTGCATCAACACCACCCCACAAACCGTCGAGAAAGAGATGAGAAGAGGAAAGAGGGGAAAGAAGAGGAGAGAAGGAAGAGGAGAGAAGAAAGAGGCGAGAAAGAGAAGTGAGAAAGAAAGGTGAGAAAGAGAAGAAGAAGATGAAAGAGGAGAGAGAAGGAAAAGGAGAAGGAGATAGCGTAAAAATCAGAGAGTAGGGGAAAGATGAGAAAGAAGGAGAAGTGAGGCGGAAAAGAGAATGGGATTTAGGGTTTCTATTTTTTTTTTTATTATATTCCGACGAAAATTCCATCGAAAATTTCCGACGGACTTTAAGGTAATTTACGACGGAAAAATCCTTCGGAAAGTACATTTTTCGACGGATTTATATCCGTCGGAATATTTCGACGGATTTGTTGAATTCATCAAAAATATCCGACGGAATTTAAATCCGTCGGAAATTTCAATTTTTCCAACGGAATAACGTGTCCGTTGAAATCAGTCCGTCGGAAATCGACCTGATTCTTGTAGTGAAATCAGTAAAAATAATTTTAGTTCAGTTCAGTAAAAATAATTTAAATTTAGCAAAAATAAGGTGAAGTCAACAAGGCCTAATTGTTTTATTGTTGTTTGTTAGTTATGAAATAGGCTTATACAATGGAGGAATCAGTGTATGTAGGTGAGATGGGTTAGAGTTTTACGCTTGACCCTGATAAATTATGGTGGTGTTTTTGTAATACAGAAGTGTGGTGTTTTTGTAAATGGATCCAATTGGGATAAATTGATAAAAAATGGAGGAAGAAGAGACATTACATGGTTTCGCTGTAAAAGGTAGTGAGAAAACGAAGGGAAAATAAGGTGGGTTAGATTAGTAATGCCACGTTAGATGAGTAACCTGGGTTAGGATTTAATAAAGAAGTGTGGTGTTTTTTGATGTAAATGGATCCAATTAGGATAAATTGATAAAGAATGGAAGAAGAAGAAACATTACAGGGTTTCACTGTAAAAGAAGGGAAAATAAGGTGGGTTAGGTTAGTAATGCCAAGTTAGATGAAAAACTTGCTATAGCAAGTCATTTGTAAATGGGTCCAATTTAAGAAAAAGGTGTTAAAAGATGGGATTAAATTGAGTTAATCAAAAAGTGGGATTAATATAAGAAGATCATTTAAAGGATTTTTGTCAACTTTTCCTTCTACAATTATTATCCCAACTTACTAGCTAAAATTACAAATATACCCCTTTATAGTCGAAATATTGAAGTATCTATACTACTATTTTAAAACCGGAAGTTTAAAGGACACATGTCCTCTTCTTCTTGCTTTTTCTGATTTTTTTAAATTTTTTATTATATTTTTGGTTTCAATAGAAGTGTAAAAACAATAACTTTTCTATTCCAAACGCTTTCATTGCTTTCAATCCCTTCAAAAATAAAATGATCAGTTTTCATTTGTATCTCTTATTCTCTTGGTCCTAATTTTTTTTTAATTTCATTATATATTTCCTTTTCATTTTTCGATTTTTATTATAATTTTTATATGGTATAATTTTTTTTTATACTTCCTTTTTGTTTGTTTTTTTTTTTTTTTTTTTTTTTTTTTTTTTTGTGTACTGTGTTTTTAATACTATTTTTGCTAAATTGAATTAGATCTTCAAAACAATTTTTTGTTTGATTTTGTTATTAACTTCGCCTTTTGTTTTTGGTTGTTATAGTAATAATTTAAGAATAGTTTTATATGACTACTATTCACCTTTGCATCATCATAGTGTTTTTTGATATTATCTAAGGAAACATCAATAATACAATGTTTTTTTTATTGTTTTTTTTATAAGAAGAATATATTGCATTTTATTTACGTAATATTTTATTTTGCTAATAAAATGCAATTTATATGTACACATGTTTTTATTTAACAAAAAAAATCTAAGAACAATCCCAATACACAATAGTACAATTCTTTAGTTAAAAACTATATAATAGTACAATTCATTAATTAAAAAGCTATATTTAGCCAAAAATTCCCTCGTGCATCGTGCGGGCTAAATACTAGTTTTTTTTTTAAAACCCTAGTAAAAAACAATAGAGGGAGCCCCCATTTATCTTAATGATAAAAAACTTGTTTATCTAATGGAAACATTGTAATATATTGGCTTTGGAATTTGTGCTACTAATTTAAATAATATTTTTTTCTATTTTGTGCTTTCCAGCTGGATAAAGGAGCGTTATCTTGTTCTTCCTCCTTACTTCTTCATCTATGCTACTACTCCATTCTAATTGCAGTAAACCATGTCCACCACCATATACTAGAAGCTCATCTTCTTCTTCCTTCCCGATTTCCACACGCCTTACACTGACACTACTGCTTTCGACATCCTCACCACCATTTTCGACGGCTTCGCCGTCGAATCAAACGGAAACCCTAAGAAAAAAAAGGGAGGAATGAAGGGTATGGTGAAACCCAAAGGGTAGGGGTGACAGGTTCCTCTATTAATGCAACATTTGAACTTGAATTCTCCATTAAAGTTTCTAAAATCTCCATTGAAGCTCTTCAAATCCACCGATACCTCCCTTAACGCCGTTAGTCTATTTTATACATGAAATCACAAAATTGCCCATACTTAAATGTGTAAACAGACTATTATACCCTCATGATAAATAGATTTTGGGAGCGCGGCCTAGGTTACGCTCGGAGATTATTAGATTAACCTACTCGTGTATCTTAGTGGCATATTTGTAAATAATTGAACATTGAGCATTGACACATTAGTTAGTATGTTTTAATTGTATTTTTAAAAATGCTTTTGTGAAGTAATGACGTTAGACAGCGTTTTGACGACAAATGTTGTATATTTTTTGGAAGAGTTTAGTCGTCACCAATGTGATGTTCTCCAACCATGGAAGGCTGTAATTGTTAAATCTGAGCTTCAGTGGGTGGTATATCTGCAACAAAAGGTCAGTTGCTCTTGATTTGTTGGCTTTTCGAACTTACCTTTTGTTTGATTGAGGTTATATTCACCATCCTTCCACAGTCGGGATCCAGCAATAACAACCCATAATCGTTGTTACCTGAGAAGCCTACGAGACTTGCTACCTCCAAGCCTGCGAGCCCTGCTACCTCCAGCCTTTAGGGTTTCACAAACGGAGTAAATTAACTACAAATTACTGTTACTTTAAGCCAGATAAAGCATTAACTTTTTAATTCCCAAAAAAAATCATTACTATCGACAAAGTACGATAACAGCCCGTGATGAACCATCTTCTGTGAGAAGGTTGGATTTTCCCATTGTTTATCACGAAGATAAACTTGTATTTTCTCAAAATAATTCTCGGTATAAAATGGAAAAATTTAAGTTTATCTCTTTGATGAACATGGAAATATATCCCCTGTCATAATATATTATTTTATTTTTATTTTTAAAATATTAAAAGTGAAATTGTAAAGTGACACAAAAATAAATGCATAAAGTTGTGAGAATCGTATAAAATTGTTATAGGAATACTCAGTTGAAAAAATTGAGACACATAGTGGGGAACTGTATCTGGTTGGGTGGTTGCCTGAGAGTGTGAGCAGAAAAGGCTCCAATTTGCGACTTATTTCTGGCAATCTACACTCTACATTATACAGAGAGGCGGCGGAAGGAAGAGAAAGAGAAGGGAAAATCGGGAAATAATAATGCTGGAAAACCCACCCGATAACACTCTTTCTGCTCCAATCAAGAGATATGCACCTCCCAATCAGAGGTATCATCATCATCTTCTTTATCTCGTTTTTATTATTATTTTTTATTTTTATTTTTTTTATAAATCACGCTCACTAATTTTCGATATGAATGCAGGAATCGTAGTCTCAACCGGCGCAAATCTGGAGGTAATTCTTGCAATTTCTTATTTGATCTATGCCAATTGCAAATCTGGAGGTAATTCTTGCAATTTCTTATTTGATCTATGCCAATTATTTTTATTAATAAATTAATCAAGCTGTAATGGAATTTATGAATTTCTTATGAAAGAGATCACATTAAAATGCTTGTTGCTGTTGCTGTTGCTGTTGCTGATGATGCCATCTAAGTGTATATGTGCGTTAAAAGGAGTATCTATCAACCTAACCATTTCTTTAAAAAACCTAGTTTTGTATTTGATCTATAACAGGCATCCTCAACTTGGAACTGTTACCTTACAGATTTACTAACATAGTATCACTAAATCTAGCATTGTCGTTCCCATATGTCTGTTCTAATGCATCTTAATTGTCATTAGGACTAACACGATTCATGTCAATATAAAACATTCTGATAGCAATATTGGCAAGGAATAGATCATAGGAGAGGATCGTAGGAATACAATGGCAATGAATCAATTATTAATGACTAATCAGATACATACACTATTTTGCACACTGATACATCTACCTATTCTAACAAGATGCCAGAGACAAAATAGGGTAGTTGATTATAACCCTTGGTAGTTGCCCTATCTGCCCTAGTTGGGATAAGATTAATTTTCTAAGTGCAGTTGGGATGGGATTAATTTTATTAGGCTAGTTTGATGACTTTATATGGGTCAAAAGGACATTTATTAGGTTGCCCCTCATTTCGAGTTAAAAGGTTAGGTATGGTTTCATCCGACCTGTTTTAATATCTCAGGCTACATAGATCATTTTTGGGTTGAAACTCTAACCTAAGCCATTTAATTTTAGGTCGGGTTTGGGTTGATCCATTTAATAAATTGGGTTAAAAAGCTTAACCCAAACCCGTTATAATGTCCGCGGTGGAGTGTCACAAAAATAGTCTTATTGGATATATTTAATATTTGAGTTTGAATGTATTATGATTTATTTTATTTAGGTAAATTATTAATTCATCTGATAAATTTTCTAGAAATTTAGGGTTTAATGTACGGCTACATAGAGCCACACGATGTAAATATTAGACAAAGTTGAATTAATTGATTAAATTACTTTTGCTGGGCTTTTTCGATCATAGATGTATGGAGTTAAACCAAACATAAAACCAAAATTTTTGTGCATCTTGTTGACTATGATTGATAAGAAACACTTAATTCTTTCTACAGTTGCTATATCATTGTTACTTCCTATTGGGTCTACTTATATCCATATCAGGTAGATGAAATATATGAATGCTATTCTTGAAATGTTGGGCCATGTGCTCGTGAGGTCGAGTCAATTTTGTCACTTTATTGTTGAACATGGTGTTGACGGTTGCTTTTAGTTGTCGCTTCTTTAGTAAAAGAGAAGACTTTATTGGCCATCGGTTGAACATTTGGTTTCTGATTCATCTCTTTTTCTTTGCTTTTGACGAGCTATGTCCTACCTTATACAACCAAAGGTGCTCTTTAACTTGAGGAGACTGGGGTAAAGTAAAGCTATTTGAGTCCAAGGGTCCCATGCCACGCACGGTTATATTTAAATTTTTTAATAATAAGTTTAACACAACATGTAACATAACATTTTATACTTCCTTCATTCTTTAAATATTACACCATTGGGGTTTGGCTCAATTTTTTTATAGTGGAAAAAAGGAAGAGAGAGAAAGGTAAAAATACAAAAGTGCCCATTTGCAGTGTGAACTGAGATATATATTTTTCTAAAATGGTATGATGCAATATTTGTGAAACTTTCTTGAAAAGCAAGTGGTGTAATATTAAAAGAAAGGAGGAAGTATGTCCCTTTCACTTTTCATTTGGTAGATCCAAGTCCATGGCCTTTTGTAAGTGACCTAATTCGACTTTTGCACTATTCACATACATCACTTTGACGAAAATTTGAGGTTTATACATAAAATTAGATATAGTCATGCAACCAATACGAGTACTTGCTACAACTGTCTTAATGTGTAGTTTCCAAAATATAATTTTTTTTATTTATTTATTTATTTATTTATTTATTTTTTTTATGAAAAGCTTGACTCCAAGGATGGAGAAAAGATCATTTATAAGATGCCAAAGAGAAGACAAGAGGCAAGGAAAGATATTAGCATGGTAAAGTGTGTCAAAGATAAGAACCAAATTGTCTTAGTATAAGAGGAGGACATCAAGTCGAAGGGGTACTTCGATGAATTGCTTAATGGAAGTAATTGAACTGTGAAAGGAGATACCTCCGTGAGTGATGAAAAAATCAACATGGAGTATGTGCGGAGGATTAGGAGAGTAGAGGTGGAGATTGCACTGAAGAAGATGAAGCCTAAGAAGGCGGTTGGCCCTGATTGTATACCGATAGAGGTGTGGAGGTGTTTGGGTAAGATTGTTATTGATTGGTTAACAGACCTCTTTAATAAGATATGGAGGGCTACAAGGATCCCGCAAGATTAGAGGAAGAGCACCTTGGTCCTGGTCTATATAAACAAAGGAGACGCTTAAGATTGTTCCAACTATAGAGGGATCAAGCTTATGAGCCACACTATGAAGTTGTGGGAAAAAGTGATTGAACGGCATGCAAAAAGCATTTCGGATAACCAATTTGGTTTTATGCTTGGGAGATCTACTATGGAAGTAATCCATTTGACAAGATAAATGATGGAGTTTTATAGGGCAAAGAAGAAGGATCTTCATATGGTCTTTATTGATTTAGAGAAGGCATATGACAAGGTGCCAAGAGAGGTACTTTGGTGGGCTATGTTGAAGAAAGGTATCCCACGAAGGTACGTGGATCTGGTTAAGGATATGTATGGGGTGTGTCAACAAATGTGAGGACATGTGGAGGGTTGACAAAAGATTTCTTTATTACAATTGGATTGCATCAAGGGTAAGCCCTTTTCTTTTTGCAACGGTTCTACATGAAGTAACTAGACCAATTTAAGATGAGGTTCTATGGTGTATGTTGTTTGCGGATGATATCGTTTTGGTGGATGAAACTTAAGATGGGGTTAACGCCAAGTTGGAGCAATGGAGGCAAAGGTTGGAATCTAGAGGGTTTGAGCTAAGTCGGAGTTAGACTGAATTTTTGGTATGTCGCTTTGGTACTCACAGGGGAACAAGCAATGAAGTGGTGAGTTTGGATGGAAAGGATTTGACCATGAGTGAATGTTTTAAGTATATTGGTCGATTATCCGGAATAATGGTGACATTGATGAAGACGTGGCCCACAGGGTTAAGTCGGAGTGGCTTAAATGGAGAGCGGTCACGAGAGTGTTATGTGACCGAAGCATCCCCTTACAGTTTGAAGGGAAAATTCAACAAGACTGCCATAAGACCAGTGTTGCTCTATGGTACAGAATGTTGAGCTTCTAAGGAGCACATTAAAAAGATAGAGGTTACGGAAATGCGCATGTCAAAGTGGATGTGCGGGAACACTCTAAGAGATAGAATCAGAAATGAGGTTATTCGCAAGAAAGTAGGTTTGGCAGGCATTGCAGACAAACTAAGGGAAAATTGCCTGTGTTGGTTTCGGCATGTAAGACGGAGCCGAGGGTGTAGAAGAGTGGGACCATGGAGGGGCTAAACGAGGGAGAGAGAGACTGAAAATGATTTGGTTGGAAGGAGTTAGGAAAGGATATGAAGTATATGGATTTGCATGAGGATTAAGCATTGAATCGTAAGGGATGGAGGAGGAAGGTTTTTGTCGATAACTACACAGAATAATCAAATTTGGTTCATGTAGCCGATCCCACTTACGGGATTAAGGGTTTGATTGATTGATATAATTTATGTTTATTAATAATTAAAGATATTCATATCGTTGGTCAATGTTTCGTGGTATATAGTTAATAAAGATTTTTTTTTTAAAAAATAGTTAAATCTTAACACAAGTTAGCTATATTATCAGCAACAACAGGTTATAAATGTGATTTACTAAATAGATCATTTAAATTTGATGGGTCAAAGGTTGGTTTATTTAAGAACAACCAAAAGGTTTAATTATCTTATTTTCGACAATTTTGTTAATACAAATTAACAATTTTATTTAAAACTTTATTTAAATTCATCTAGTAACCCGTTTAAAAGATTAATATTGCATTAAACAATATTAATATTAATACCCCCTTATTAAAAAGATATACTGTGTCATATAAAGATGTCATTGATGTGCAAAAAATCTTAATAATAGTATTTTTGTAATATGTTGTCACAATATATGTCGAGAATTTGATTAAATTACTTTTTACTTATAACTATTGCATTTTTGCATTAATGAAATAGTTATTATTTTTGTAAAAGATTTTTTAAAATATTAGAAAAATGAGAAGCCCTTATTACATGTTTCATTAATGGAAATCTATAAATAATAATAATAAAAACTTTTTCCAATTCCCTTTCTCTTTCCCATGAACCTATCCCTCTTTTTCCTCCATATTCAGCATTCTTCCCATTTTTTTTCTCAGTGTTTAAAAGAAGATTCAATAACATAAGAAATTTTCCCCGAATTTCTCTTTCTCTCTCTCCCATCATCTCATTTAAATTTTCTGATTTCCTCATTGCAATTTTTGAATTTTCAATCTTTTCATTGATCACCTTTTTGTGAACTCTAAATTTGGTGAATGATTTGTTGTTGTTCTTTGCAATTTAGTGTTTTGATTTTGAATTTTTGAGTGTAAGATGCATGGTAGATTGAAAGGATTTAAGTAGAGAGAATGGAGAATGGAAGAAAGAAGCTGAGGTAAAAGCTTTAATGGAGGAGAGAGAGTTTGTCGTGGAAAAGAGCAATCACGAGCTTGGAAACTTGAAAAAATTTGCATAACTTTTAAGCTATGTGTGCATAATTTTTCAAGTAAATGTGCATATTATTTAAAATAAATGTGCATTAATTATATTGTTAGCTAAATCTGCATAAATTTTTAACTAAGTGTGCATATATTTTTGTTCAAAACGTGCATATTTTTTTGAGCTAATCACCTATGTGGTGGTAGTCACAAATTCTTTTTCTCTCTCATCTTTTCTCTTTCCAATCTCATCTTTCTTGATTTTTTCCACAATTTGAAATATCATACCCTTGCGTATGGAAGAATGAATAAGATTATATGGAAGAGATATGCTGTGAAAAAGGAGAAAAGTGAAAAGTAACATATGAAAACCTGAAAATAAACGTGCATAAATTTCAAACTGATTGTGCATATTATTTGTTCTAAATGTGCATAATTTGCACAAATTGAGTTTTGATCGTTGGATTAATCTAAATGGTTAAGAACTCCTATATGTGAGAATTATTCTTATGTGAGAACACTCTTTATGTTCTAAATTTTTACTCGTATGTTCTAAATTTTAAATCTGATGTTCTAAACTTTTCCCTAGGTGTTCTACTTAAATCAAATATTCTAAATTAGTACTCACATGTTCTAAACCATAAATTAGTTAAGGTTGGTGTTATAAAATTTAAATAACTTGTTTCAAAATTTTAACTTATATGTTCTAAATTTTATAACGTGTGTTCCAAGATTTTTAATTATATGTTCCAGATTTAATTTAAAAGCGTATGTTCTAATTTTTATTCGTATGCTCTAAATTTTTACTCACATATTCTATATTTTATATAAGGTGTTTAAAATTTTTATTCACATGTTCGTAATCTTAAATTATATGTTCTAAATTTCATAAAATAGATTTTCTAAATTTTTACTCACATGTTCTAATTCTTAAATTAGATGTTCTAAATTATTACTCACACAGATGTTCTAAATTATTACTCACATAGATGTTCTAAATTATTACTCATGTTCTAAAATTTAATTTGAGTCACATGTTCTAAATTTTTACTCGTATATTCTAAATTTTTACTCACATGTTCTAAATTTTAGATCAGTTCTCATATTAGTCTGAATTCTCACATATGAGCCTATTCTCACCGGATCCCTCCCCTACACACACACGCGCGCGCACACACACACACACACACATACACACACACACTTACACACCATATTTTTCTTAACCCCCCAAATACTCATCACTCTCAATTACCCTCCTCTAATTATTCTTAGGTCTTTCCCTACCCCTCGCGATCCCATCACTTTGTCACTTTTCAAGCCTTCTTACCAAGGCTCACTTGGTCTTGTCTTACATGGTCTTAGGAGGAGTGTTTGTGGCATTCACCGCGGGTCTCAATCCCAAGGAAAGAAGGAGAGTTGCGCTAGGTTCGTGACGGGCCTAACAAACTTTGTAAAAAGTTAGTCCCATCTTATGGACATGAATTGATTTTTTTTTTCTCCATTAAATCTAGCTTTTGTAATTTTCACATTTTAAAGGCGTGCGCCTTTGCTCTTTTTGCTAGGTTTCTTTTTGCGCCTTATGATGTAAGGCGTATGGCTAATGTGTAAGAGTTTATTATAAAAAAAACACCGCATGACGTTACAACCGTTAGATTTACTTTAATATTAGCGGAGAGAGAAACCCCATATCCCCCTATTCTGTTTAAAGAACCCTAGCTATCAATCACATGGCCTTTTCACCTTTACTCAATTTATTTTTTATTCTTATTTAACGCTCCCTTCGTTTTCCTAAGTTTTACTCACTTTTAGTTTTAATCCGTTTTTCGTTTTGTTACTCACTTTTACTTTGTTCTTTTTATGATTATCCTTTCATTCATTTTTTTACCATCCACAATCTCACTTTGTGGGGCCTAATTTTTTTTTTTTTTTTTTTTTTTTTTTTACAAATCTCTTACTCCCTATCTTTCTCCTCTTCAAAAGTAACCACATGCATGATCTTATTTTCACTTTTCTTTGGTTTGCGTAGCTAGTGAGTACTCTAGAAAATTGAGGTGGTACATATATATATATGTACCTGATCTATAATCTCCAAGGACTTTTGCGCCTTGGTGCCCCTTGCGTCCTTCAAGCCTATGGACTTACTATTTGTACATTTCTGATTGTCTTACTTAAACTGAAGACATATATGGTAAGAGGGGGTGGTGGGATTGAGAGAGCAGCAGGCAAGGGTTATTCTCTATTTCTTTCATATTGATGAAATCTTCCCGTATTGAAGATGGATCATTTGTTGTTGTTTCGAGAAAAAAAAAGTGACCAAGTATGGAAAGATCTTCAGTGTAAAGCCCATCAGGATAGTGTACTACCTTCTGCTACTACTAACTATGGATGTTAAATATGGTACTTTGTATAACATATAACCCAGTTATTTAACCTTAGCTGTTGCTAGTGTTTTCGTTTGTTTGGGTATATGATATTTGTCACTAAAATCTCTATTGGTAGTTTCAAGTTAGAAGCTAAAATTGACTCTTTTGCAATATATTTTCTTGTTCTTGCTCCAGATCGATCTGAAAAAACAAGCAATCTCCACTCAACTGATGGGGATAAGAACGTGGGCATTGGTTTGCAGAGTGCTTCGAGTATAGATCATTCTGATAGTGGGAGCAGCAAATGTGTATATGAGAGTTATCGTCCAAAGTTGATAGCCCTAAATGGTTGTTGTAGAAGTGAAGCTTCTCAGCTTTTGCATGAACGTATGTGTCTTTATGTGTTTCCATATATTTTATATTCTTGCTCTATCCTATTTGTTGATCATGTAGGCATAATTTAGTTCTTTGCGGTTATGCGTAATGCACCTGTATGCTATAGCATTTTCATTATCTTTATTACTTGAGCCTTTTGTGGTCCTAAACTTTGAAGAAAGGGCAAAAGGACATTGATAAGACAACTGATCTTTGCATAGGGATGAACAAATAAATAAAAATCCGTGTTAGGCATATGGGTAGAAGAAACAGGTTGAAATTTTGGATAAGTTTCGCTTGATGATTGAGATGCTACTAGATTAATATTTACAAGTATATTTTTTTGTAGGAAGCACACGTAATGCCATACTTGGCACGTTGTCACAGTAGATAAATTTGTCTATCGTGACATGTAATGTGTATTTCATGGAAATTAATAATCTCACCCATGAAAAGTGATGTTAATTTCAAGAATTGGAAAGTGTATTTAAGCATCATTGTCATAGAATTTGATTATCTATATCTTTAAACAAATTTCTTAGAAAGTTGTGTGATCATTTTTATAAGGAAAATTTGCCAAAAATAACACCACCTTTGAGCGGTCTTCCCATAATAGCACCACCTTTTGATTATTCCTGAATAACACCACCTTTCACATGTATTTGCCAAAATTGAAACAAAACCGGTTGGTAACCTGTAAAACAGGTTACTTGTGCACGTGTCACAATGTCAATGGTTAATTTTATTTATTTAATTTTTTTTTAAAACCTAAGTAATTAAAAAAAAGTATAAATTAAAAAAAAAGGAACCCACTACCAAGCCGGCTAGCCTCCCCTGCCAGCCTCTCCCTGCCCCAACCCGTACCCACCCTCGCCGCCGCCCTTCCCCCTCCCCATCCTCGCCGCCGATCAACCTCCCCAGCCTTCCCCCTCCCCATCCTCGCCGCCGATCAACCTCCCCAGCCTTCCCCCTCCACCCATTCCCCCGCCCTAAACAACCCACCACCTATTCCCCCGGCCTAAACACCCCTCCACCCATTCCCCCGCCCTAAACACCCCTCCACCCATTCCCTGTTCCCTTATCCATTTCTGGTGCCCCCTTCCCTTCCCCATTTTCGATGCCCCTACCCATCCCTTCTCCATTTTCGATACCCCTTCCCTTTCCCTTCCCAATTTCCGGCCCCTACCACCTATCTCCTTCCCCCAAAACCATAACCAGTCGAAAATGTTGGTTGTATAAAGGGAAAAGGCTCGAAATTGGGGACGATGAAGGGAGGGGGGATTGAATCTGCTACGGGGAGGAAAGGTGGGGGCTGAAATCGGGAACGGGGAAGGGAGGAGCTCGAAATCAAGGTGGTGGTTCTCAGTGAAAGGGGGTTTTAAATTTTTTTGGTTTTAGGTGATAGGTCTTGGTTGGGGTGGTGGATGCCGGTGAAAAGGGGTGGGCAAAGGGGCCGGGAAAGTGGGAAGGGGGGTTTAATTTTTTTTTAAAAAAGTTTTTCCAAAATTAAAAATAAAAATAAATAAATTAACCAATCAAATTAGAACACGTGTCCTAAGGTTACCTGAAAAAAAAGTTGTCGGTTTTTTGTTTCATTTTTGGCAAATACATGTGAAAGGTGGTGTTATTCTGGAATAATCAAAAGGTGGTGCTATTATGGGAAGACCGCCCAAAGGTGGTGTTATTTTTGGCAAATTTTCCTTTTTATAATTACCTAAGGACTCACATATGTATTACCTTTGTAAGGAACTTTGTTTTTTAGAAAACCTCACTAAAGTTATATGATAATAAATGAAAGAGAAGTCCTTAAGTCCATGCATAGGAAGCATAGTTATCTTTCAATGAGTGAATATTGTTGTTGCACAAATTCTTAAGGAGGTTGAAATCGCAAGAGAAATACATGAGCAAGTTGAATACTGGCCATGAGCTAGTAGCTCAATAGAAAAGTGAAAATTATTGCTTAATATCTCAAATTCTCGAGGAATATGAAATGAAATTGCAAGAGAATAAATAAGTAATTCAAATTGCCTTACGTGCTACATTTCTTTGCTTACCTGAATCTCCTAACATTGCTTATGTACTTCGTTAAATTCGAGGGCTTTCTAGTGAGGTGATAAAAATAATGGAAAATCGATTTCTAAGAGTGGATGAATGATTTTTTTCCCCTTAACTTATTAGGGTGAGGACACAAAGCCTAATTGTTGAGACCAATATTGTTAGATTCTACTTTTGTTCGATAAGGATACTAAGAATTATATCGTGTGATTGAGTTGTAGAATTGTGATATTCTAAATTTTGATGATATAATTTGCAATATAATAATAATAATTCATATATTTAGCCTAAATACTAAATGTTTACTCATAACTTCATACGTTCGTTCATCGTATAAGTACTCCTAGATTGCTTGGATTTACGAGCAATAATTCAATTACAAATCATATACACATACACAAGAACAATAACAACAAACAATAAGAGCCTTAATCCCAATAACGGGGTCGGTTACATGAACCAATAATTTATCTTCTGTACTCGCTAACCATAATCCTCCCCTTCCATTCCCTTGTGTCCAATGTTATAATCTCCTGCAAATCCATCTTCTTTGTGTGCTTCTTAACACCCTCCATATAAGTCATATTTGGTCATCCTTTGTCTCTTCTAAGATCCCTTTGATCCCAACTCTCAACTTTCCTTTAAGACAATATTATTGTTGGTTCAGGGTTGGGTTTCTTGCTTCCATGTTGCCAATATATCTATGTTTTGATCAAGCCCTTTGGGATTTATAGATTACTTTTAGCTCCTCGAGCCTCTGGAAAAAGAATTTTCAGTCTTTAGAAACGAGATTTGGAAGCTTTTGCTCTTGCTTCTTTCTCTTCTTCGACCTTTACAATTTTGTAAGAAGATATATTCAATTTCTTTTAATTTACCTATTAGCAGATAGTTACCCCCCTTCTAATTTTACAGGTCATTTAAACCCCCGTTGTGTTGTGTGTGTGTGTGTATGTATATATATACACACACACCAAAAAAAAAAAAACTTGATTACATATAAAAATTATAACCAAAGTTGCGCCTCATATCCAAAAGGTGTGTGCGGAGGTTCCAAGGATCGCCTTTTATGGCTTAGAACACAACAATAGAAAAATGAGGCATGTAATAGGTGTATGGCTTTGTTAGTGCCTCAGGAACTCCGTGATGATTCTCCGTCTCTACATTCTCCCTTCCATCTCACAAAAACTTTTCATTTCTCTTGGGAACTTAATTTTACGGGTATTGGTGGCGGGTTTTTGTTGAATATAAGAGAAAAAGTATAGGTAGTGGGTATTGTTTATTGTTTTTAAATAGAGGTTAGAGAAAGTGGGACTATAATGCTTAATGGAGTGTGGAAATTAAAGTAAAAAAAATTACTTCCTCCGTTTTTTTTTTATTGCATCATAGTGGTTTTGGAGGCAAAATTTGGTAGTGGGAAAAAGTAAGAGAGAGAAACGTAAAAATACAAAATTGTCCATGTAATGTAAGATAAAATAAAAAGTAAGTGTGAAAAAGTAAGGGTATGTTGGGTATTTGCAGTGTGAACATAGATATTTTTTATCCTAAAAAGGAAATGATGCAATAATAAGTAAACTTCCTACATTAGTAAGTGATGCGATAAAAAAAAGAACGGAGGAAGTATATTTAGTAGACCAAATTCAAGGGAGAAATGAGGAGTTTTTATATTGGACAAGCTTTTCAAGAGATGTGGGAAGTTTTTGTGGGACAAAGGGAGTATGTTATGTGGGGGTTTGGAGCAGTAGGAGAAGTTGTAAAGGAGAAATGTTCTGATGGTTGTTTTGTGGTGCATCTAGTTAGAATGGTAATGTATTTATTGTGTGATTCGTTTTGAGATAAAGTATCATTTTTAGCTTCCTTATAGGCTTGATACAATTGGAGAATTTGCTAGCGTGTCATGTGTGCTAACTCATGTCAATATCTCCATGGACTCCCTACCCCCATTTTAAAAGTGCAAATCAACAAACCTCCTTGAAACTTTCCTCCATTTTTAGCCAATAAATATCTCTCCATGCTCTTCACACCACCATATATTGTAAGCTTGAGTGATGTCACAAAGTTTGTTAGTCAAGCTGACAGCCAGACAACCCAACAAACCTCCTTGAAAGTTTCCTCCATTTTTGCCATATATTTCTATGTTCTTTGTACCACCATCCATTGCTTTTGACCCTGAAGCTTGAGCGATGTCACAAAGTTTGCTTATCAGGCTGACAGCCTGGTATACCCTTGCAGAAACTACCAAAAATGATTCGCATTGACTTCTCTCTGCTCTTATTAATCCATAGTAAGCCTTTCGGTTCTTTGCTACTTGTCTTGTTGCCACCTCTGTTTTCTTCCATTTCGACTATAATCATCGCCAACTATGTCACCAGCATGTGACCTATGCTACTGCGTCTTTATCACTCTCAGTTTTCTCTCTCCTCCACTCCTTTTTCAAGTTGCTTTCCTGGATTGATCTGGTAGAATATAAATGATAATCAGATCATGTGCATCTAGGAAACCAAGCAAATGATGTTTATTTGTTGACCTTACTATTGTTGGATGTTGGTTTAATTATTCTAAGGAATCCGATGATGATGTTCTTTCACTTACTTATTTGATATTCAAGCTGATTGTTTAATTTTGTTCTTATCACTATTCAATAATCATGCTAATGGCAGGATGAGTGGGTGATGAATTAATTGATGTTCGTTGATAGGCTTATAATCTGGGTGAATTTAATTGGATTCTTATTTTATAAAAGTCCGTGTACTAATTTTATTATTGTTGTCATTTGAATATGATTGATATTTATCATCTATTATCTATTTGATAACACGCATGCACACTCACGTGTGCAACTTACACTAGTGCTTCATCATAAAGGCAACAAGGCATTCCTATTTTTGGTCTGAAAATTGCATTAGCATATTTTGAGAGAAATTACCCAACCACTGATGAAAGCAGTAATGCTGTCTCAGGTCTCACCTTTGCCATTATGACATTTTCATAAACTTGCAATTTAAATCTAGTTCACAATTTCCTTACTTTTTAAAGCGATTTACTATTAATTATTTTTTTCTACATTTAAATAAAATGAACAAAAACTTGTCTAAAACATTATTTTATCGAAGAGAATTAAATTGTTGTTGTCATTGCTGCCATTTGATGATTATTAATTGTATTCTACCTGTCAAATATTAAAAAAATGAGAATTGCATGATTGGATATTTACTATTGAATCAATAAATTTTTATTTTAATTTAATTTTCCATCCTATTCTGTGACAATAGTTGATGTTGATCCATGTACAGACAAGTTTCGGTCTCTGTCATTTACAAAGGGACATGCAGAGCCAGCAAACCTTTTGGTCTCTGTTAAACAGTCAAACAATAGAACACATCTAAGATGTTGATTCAAATACAGACAAGCAGCTTCATCAAAGGATTATGTCAGTGTGTATTTTTCCTTGAGAGAAGGAAACTTGATTTATATCCCAAAGTAGTGTTACTAGGAGCCAAGTAAATCGGGCCAGTGGATATCTAGGATTGAAATTCTTCTCTTCAATGGCCTTAGGTCTTAGCATACAAAGTGAGATGTACTCTTGTAACAAATTAATACTACTGACAATAAAATTGAGTGGACTAATATTTTGAAATAGAGCAGACTAATATTGATTCACAGACTACAGAATTAAAGCAGATTAATATTTTGATCTGTGGAGCAAGAGAGGTTTTTTTGATTGATTGATTGATTGATTGACTGAGAAAGATTAATTACAAGTGTTGGCTTGCGGCCACAAATCTCAAAAACGATAACTCTAGCTCACCACTTTCTACATTTCCCTTACTGCCACAAACTACTCTCCTCTGCCCTTCCTCCTTTATTTATATTTATATGACCTTTGGGCCAAATGCTTCCAAGGAGATCCTATCTACCCTAGCTTACTCAAATTACAATCATTTGTCTTTCTCCCCCTAATGATTGCTGCTCCACTACAGCCCACCTTAGTGACTCTTCTGCCTCTTCTCACATATGTAATCCAGCCATGTGGAGGGTTGTCCTGTTCATTGCAACTCTCTCCTTTTTTTTTTCCAAGTGATACACTAACTTTTTTTTTTCCGAGTGATACATTATGACCTTTGACTTGATTTCTTTGCTTAAAAAAGAGGGAGTTATCTGTAACTCTGGATTTACAAGATCTAACTATTAGGATTTTGCCTTTAGAGAAATAAATTCCTATTTGTTTTAGCTTAATAAGAGCCAAATAAATCGGGCTAGTGGATATGTTATATTTAGGATTGTAATCCTTCCCTTAACCGTCCTTGGCACACAAAGTGAGAAGGCATCTGCAACACTGATTGTGTAGGATCTAAGGGTTAAACTCTGCCCTACTCATTGATGCTTTGTCAGTTTGTATTATGGTTGCTTTGATATTCTGTTCCTTTATGCTTTCAGACCGAAATTGCTATTCTAACTATCCTGACTGTACTGTATTGCAGGTTGGAAGGGAGCTATATATTGCTATAGTGATCCTACTGTAGATTTATCTGGTGAGTGATTGATAACTTCTAAAATGATTTTTGAAAAAGAGTTCAAAACTGTACCTTTTAGAGGTTAACTTAAAATCAGATGTTGAAAATAGGTTTTAAAAATTGAATCTCGTTTTATTTGTGGTCACCCTACATTAAGACTTTCAAATTAGGAATCCTCATTGTAAATCATGCCCCTTTTGACTTTTTGATTCTCGTTGGTGTTTGGAAGTATAATAATAGTAGTGACATGTACTCCGTACTAAAACTATGAAAGACTCTCAAGAAAAATCATACAAAGCTGTTGTTGTTGTCAGGAGATATAATAGTAATACCACATATTGAAATTATATAAGACTTGCAGCTTATTTCATTGTTTGGATCACCTTTTTCTATCCTTTTTATAAATTTCTGCTGTTAATTCTTTCTAGTGTAGGAACGTGTTTGATGATTAGTTTTGGTTGGTTTTACTTTTGGTTATGTATTGTACGAATGTCATTTAGGTTGTATATTACGTAATCCTTAAAACATCATGATTCTCTGATATATTTGCTTGCAGAACGACCAGTCATGTACACAGGAAGTTCTGCATCAGCTTGGGGAAACTTTAGACTTCCCCATCAGGTTTATCCTAATTATGGCATGTGTTGTTCACCAACTTTAGGTACTCTGGCATAGTGCTAATGTAATTTTTTTTCCCTTATTTTGGCAGTTAATGGCTCCCCCGCAGATGGATTTCATGGCGGAACTTCAACATGCTATCAATAATAATAGTTCAAGCTTGATGAACTAAATGGCTCTTGAGATGCTAGTCATGCTATAACATAATACCTGGTGATTTTACATCTTTAACCTGACTTATTAGATATTATTGACAAATGTTATATTAGATGTATATTTGAAGGTCTCTCATGAGTTGAAGTGTTTCATCTTGCTTATTATTGCTTACGATTTTGGGCCATAGATTTTCTCGTTACCTAGAAGTTTGTTTATTTCGCTTTGTAGGATATATTGCTTGAAATTTGAATCGGGCAGGCTGTTGGCTCTTTTCTTATATCTTTATTGCGGTAAGTGTTGCAAAATTACGAAGCATTTGGATCTGTTAAGGAAGCAGCAAGTCAGAATAGAATGGAAATTGGACTATTGTTGCACTGTGTTTGTAGTGTTTCCAGTTGGTAACTAGGGTAAGAACTAAAAACTTGTGTAAAGCACAATAAAGCGAAGATAATAGGAAAAAAAAAGCCTAAATAACAATAGTACTCCGTAATAGTATTGTTATTGGAAAAATAAAGGTTTTTGATATTCTCCTAATTCGATAACATAGTTGAATAATCATTAAATTTGGTACTTTGTATAATAATTCCTTTGCTCCAAAATGATACTCGGTATTCATGTTTAGACTTTGCACAGTGTTTACTACCTCTGCTTCAGAGTATGTGCATCAATGAATTTTTTTTTTATATTTTATAAAAAATAACCAATTGTTGCACATAATGTGTAGGTAATAGAAGTAGTAATATTTTACACGACTTTTAAAATTTTTATTGTTTGACCATGAAAAGTTAATGTTGGAAAATTATGTAGCGACGGAGGGAATAACATACAACATCAAATACTTGAGTAGTTCCCCTAATTTGCATCATTTGAGTTTTACATTTAAGTATTTAACACACTATTTTCATATAGCAAGCACTTCCTCCCTTTTTCTTTTACTAGATCCTAGCAACCCCTTTCTATTATAAGCTACTTATGCCAATACAAAACTTGCTAGATTCAAAGGTATTTCAACCTTCCTCTCAAAGCTTCTATCGTTCCTCCAACGCCATAACCCTCAGCATGTGACAATAAAATAAAATTAAGGCACAATCATATATTCATATCATTATCATTCTTCTTTTGGCGAAGATTATGCACACTTCAGTCTTTAAACGGTGTTAAAAAATTTTGATCTGTTTTGTTCAGCTTTGCTACGACCATTTTGAACAATATCGTTAAAGCTGCCACCGCAGATAATGAATCAAAGGCCCATTCTTGGTTATCCCAGAATATCAACACAGGAAGATTTGATTATTTGATTAAATTGCTATTGATCTTTTTGTTGATTTCTCAATCAGTGATGGAATCTTGAATTGGTTGGTATTTACTCGTTGGTTAGGAACTTAGGATATGAAATTTTAAAAGGTAAATGATATTGTGTAAGGTTACTAATAGAATTGTTGATTTTAGCTTATATGCAATCTAATACTTCGTATTATACTTGAAATAAACAAGCATATCTATATCCAATCAAACTACTTGAAATAAACAAGCATAGCTATATCCAAGTGTCCAATCAAACTACTTCTGAATCATGTCATTTGACAAGACAAAGTCAGACAAATCCCCCGATGGGTATACTAGCTTGTACTAGTCGTAAACTCATTGTTTGGCTTTACTTTCAGGAGAGAATTACAGCTCTCAAAGGCATCAAGCTTTCCCCTGATGCTCATTCAATGTCAACACGTATGATATGTCATGTGACACGTCTTTATCTAGACATGATTGTATGTACATCAAAATCCAGAATAAACATGGGAAAAATGAATTACTCCTCGTGATATAAATACAACCCAAGCCCAAAACGAGCACAGGCCCTGACAAAAGCAATCTCTTCTGCGGCAGCAACTGGGTCAGCAGTATTTGGGTCACTAGACAATATTGTTCCAGTAGCTTCACGATATGCCTTACATAAACAAGAAAAAAAATTCAACCATCAGAAGATTCAGACCATTGTGTTGATCAATCTAGAGTACTTTGACAAAAAAATCATCAGTAAACTAGCAGTGTGCTAAGCACACAAGCCCTTAAGATAGCTTGTTGCATTGGGAAATGAACAAACAGGTTAAATAACTATGTAAGGTACCAAATAAAAGCCAGCCATGAGAGGATCAATAAACTTGCACACAAGTATCTAAAGAACAAAAAGATCTCTCTTTCTTATGCAAGCTCAATAAGGTATCAATAGTAACATACAACTTCCACCTAGCACGGATCAGCATAGAGTGTGTAGCAAACAAAGGGAATGCATTTCAGGTTGGTAAGCAAGGAATTAGAAAAAAGAAAAGTAATGTCATACTTCATATAAGTCTAATCAAATTGATTTTTACATAAAAATGTTGCAGCAAGTTAAACAATTAATATCAAGAAACAACAAAATTTGAAAATCACAAAACATTTCTTAATTGAAAAGTGAAAACAAATCTAGCAACATCTAATAATAAACAACTTCAAGCCTGTTATCCAAAGTTTGTCATAGCAACTCAAAAATCATACTCAATAGCAAATGGCTAGTGAACTCCATCTTATGCAACAAGGCTCATAGGAGAAGACTATCGTTTATTCTTGTCCATTATAATAGGTAAAATATCAATACCTTGCGTAAATTGCAGTCAGAAGACTCAGAACCAGACATCACACCCAATAACTCATACTTCATAAAAAAGACCAAAAAAAACTTTGATCTTGCATGAGTTTGAATGAGTAAACAAAGAAAATTCAGCACAAGAAGGATAGAAACCCACCTCTCCATCAGATCCTCGTATAGTCACACGGTAGACAACTGTTACACTTCCATCATCAGAGAAGATAGCATCACGTACTTCTCCGCACCAGCCTGCACATAACAATGAGCGTCAACTTTGCTGGAGGCTGAGTGGGAAACTAAAAATCTTACATCAGTGAATACTTACTACCAGAAGTTCAGTCATATTTACTTCATTTCTGAACAAGGAACTAATGGAAACAAGTCAAGCAACCTTTCATTCATCAGAAGGGAAAAGTAGCATTCAACTGATGTTACTAATCCCCTTCTGTGGACAGAAGCCTTTTCAAAGACATTGTTATCACCAGAATAAAAATCAATGTTACCACATGATCCATGAGTGTTTTAATATTCTCTGGTCATACAAAGAGTTTAAATCAGCATCTCCTAGTTGATTACGATTTTTATCAAAGATAAATGCAACAATTTGATTTTTGAGTTGTTCATATACTTATACTAAATTAGTTGATACATATTCCTTTTAAGAAAATTTCTTTTAAGTTGACACCTTTCTATATTGGGTAAGTTCTATACATTAATATGTCAATTTTACCCATACTAATCTCTATTATTCTCTCTTCTCTCTCCTCCCTTCAACAACCCTCTGATCTCTCACTCCTCCATTGTCATCCTCCCCACTCCACCAAAAACATCAATGCCGCTGCCGCCACCACCACCACAACTTCACCAATCCTCTGATCTCTTCTCTCTCCTGTCTACCTAGTAACATGCCCAACTATGTAGCGAAGCACAAATAGTAGAAAGAGCATGGATCTAGCTTCTATCTTCAATCTCCCTTCTCTACTTCAATTTCTTTGCTTAAATCTAGAAATCTTCATTGTTTTTAGGATATGTATCTGAATTTATTCCTTCTATTTTTCTCCAATTTATTCATATTTTCTCCCTAAATCATACCAAAATATTGGAGAAATTAAAAAGGAAAAAAAAAACTGGTGCAAAATTGTCTAAGTTAGATAAAATTGTTGAATTAATTAAACCAACAATGGATTTGAAGCATGTACAAAACTTCTGAAATTTTCAAGTGAGTTTGTAATTGGTTGAAGAAGAGAGAGAAAGAGGAGGAGATTTAGAGAGTTGCTGATTTCTCTGGAGATATGGGTTGACAGTGGTGACGATGGATTGAAGAGGTGGGTTGTGGTGGTTGTGAAGGTGGTGGTGGGGTTGAGGAGTGCAGGAAAGTGAGGTACCTGTGGCTAGTTGAAGTGCAGGCAGGTTAAGAACGGGTGGGTAATTATTTTGTATATAAGGGTATTTATGTGATGCATCATCTACTCTCACACTATATGAATGCCAAAAAGAAACGTGTCAACTAACTTGGAACGGAGGGAAAACTAACTTTGACCTTTGTTTCTAATAATATATAAATGAAATGTTGTGATGTAACATGTAGTTCGATAAGTCTTTATGTATATTTTCCTATATCATATTTTAATAAGTTTTAAAAATATAAATTAAGTTATTAATGATACAGAACATGCATTGACAAACACAAACGCCAAATTGTTCCATTTATATTCTTCTTCAATGGATTGGACGAGAGCTTACTTGTTTCTGTCCCCGCTCCATTACTAGACAACCAAAAAGGTAGGAAATGGGAACAGAAGATACATTAATTAATTGACTAGGCAAAAACAAACTAAAACTCCTGCAAGGCTGCAAATATTCTAAAGAGAATCTTCTACAACAGACAACGAGAAAAATAGCAGCAGTAAAATCAAGGATCAGACTGCAAGAAGTGAACAGAGTTACAAGGTACAATAGGCAAACCAAAGGACTTTCAGTTCAGCCTTAATCCATCTTCAAATACAAATAAAATTTTAAGAAAAAAAAAAAAAGAAACAAACATATGCAGCATTAATACCCTATCCAGTTCATTGCCTAAATACCTATACAAGGTTTAAAATAAAAAAAACATAAAACAGTATATCCATGCAAAAATGAATCCAAACAAAGCAGGAATATTAAAAAAAAAAAAAAAAAAAAAAAACAGGTCATGTATGCTAACCATGAAGCTAAAATCCAAGTGATTAACAAAATCCAAAAACTAATTGCACTATCACTGAAATGCTGCCATATTAACAGCACTAAAAAGCATTATACCAACCTCAAATTATTTCAAACTATTTTCAGTCAAAGAAAAGCATATTGTTTCATATATTAGTAGCAAAGAAACAAGGACTCGTAGACAACAAGCATACTATTTCTAAATCATCCCAAGAAAATAGTAAAAGACCTTTAGACAACAACAATCTTTAGTCATGCCAATGGTAAGCTTAATCCGTCAAGACGATATTCTGCTATATTAAAAGCCAAATTTAATAATATCAAAAGAAAAATGGGAGATTGCAGTCACTCCTTTTATCCCACAAAAATAGCCAAGTGGACTTATTTGAGGAGTCAGGAGTGAGCAGCGAGTAATATTCAACCAATAATAGGGTAGATTAGCTGGAAGAGAAAAAAAACTTGGGAAACATGAATATATTCATCAGATGGATTTTTAATTTTGGGCAAAAAAGAGTGTATGCTTCATTATCTATCATACAATGAATTCAATCCACATTACTGTAAATTTGTAAGCTTTCCATGCACAACTTTAGATGGTAATTACTGTAAATTTGTAAGCTTCCCATGCACAACTTCAGATGGTAACGAAGCATTCACCATGATTGTCATCTTCAAAAACTTCAAACAAAATTCACCATCAGACTAAGAAAGCCTTGTAATATAACTATCATTCTCCCTACATTAGGAGCAACGTCACACTACGACCTGAACAATGATTGTCATCTTCCTTGGTATACTCCCTCCGTATTTTATTACTTGCTCCACTTTCCTTTTGCAGCCGTATTTTATTATTTGTTCCATTTCTTTTTTTAGAAACCTTTCATAATATTTTTCTAATTTCCTTTCTCCTAGTGGACCCCCCGACTATCATACTTTAATATTTTCATATTCTCTCTCCTCCCAACTATCATACTTTATTTTTCCACCGACCCCACTTCCTTCTTATTTTATTACTTTCTACTATTTCTCCTAAAACTCCGCTCATGGAGAACTGGAGAAAGTATTAAAATACGAAGAGAGTAACATACAAAGAACTCTTCATTATTTTTTCCCGGGCAATATAAATCATGACTTTACCTTTAATAGTGACACAATTCTTTGTTATTTGATTCTGCAAGTACTTGACAGATTGTTCAAATGACATCTTGGATAAAGACAAACCAAATGTTTGATTCTACATTAGGGGCATAGGGTCTTCATATATTGATCATAACCCATCGAGAGATAAGCTAAGGAAAGTTATAAAACAAGGCTATAAGGGAAAGAGTATTAAGAGTGGACAAAATTAGATATCGGTCCATGAAAAGGAACAAGAAAAGTGCAACCGTGGAATGCATGATAACTTAAAAAAAAATGTGGAAAGGTAGTGCCATGAAGGCCCAAGCTACTTGAAAGGGTGTCAAAGCCCTAAGATCATGTCGCCGGCCGAAAAAGTCCCAATACACGTAGAACCAATCATGTAATGCTAGGTTTCCCAATGAATACCAAAGATTGCTACCAAAGATTCATTTAAGGTACTTTCTACCATCCTGGTGCAAATCCAAATCCTTCCTTATTAGTTATTACTATCTTAACTACTTTGTTTAAGAGTTGACTTGGTTTCCTATTATGCTTAAGGTAGGGGATTTTTACTAATAATTTTACCTTCAATAGACATTGTTAAATCATCCAATAGAGCTGCAAAGAGGAAAAAGCTAGTAGGAAAATCCTTCATTACTCTATTCCAAGTCCTTAAGTTTGCTTTTACATTCTAATACATATCCTTATCTATTTCAATATACTTGTGAGGTATGAGAGGTATACCCTTTTTAGGATTTTGCCCAACAAAGGGCATCTCTCGACACCTTATCATAAGCCCTCCTTCCCTTCCCTTCTCACTTGCCCTTAAAACTCAATAACACACTCAAAATAGCTCTTGAATGCATCCATCTCCATCCGACCACCTCATGAATCATGTGACTCATTAACAATGAAAAATATATGCAACAATGGATGTTGGTGAAAGGATTAAAATAATAAACTCAAAAAAACACTCATTCCTTTGCCTCCTCAAATGAATAAAGTACTATAGACCACCTCAACACAAACCCAAATTTGTGCTCTGAAATACTCATACTTTTCCTCAATCTATTGTCTATCACTAATTCCCTTAATTTCATGGAATGACTCATAAGCTTTATCCCTCTATAATTTAAGCAACCACTTTGTTCTTTTAGATGGTACCAATGTGCTCCTCTAATTTTGAGGTATCCTTTTAGTCCTTCAAATCTTATGGAAGAAGTCAATGAGACCCAATCATCCCCAAACCTAAAGGAAATGGCTAGCGGCCTTCATTATTTCACTGTTCAACACCTTCTCTACCATCACCTTCAATGTACATCTAAAATCCTCAATAAAGATGTCTCCAAAGACAACAATTTGACTTACATAGAACAACTGGACAAAGTATCTCCCAAATCTTTCCAAAATGTCTTCATCTGGACTTTATCTTTCAGCATTTTACGGTACTAAGGTCCTTGTTAAACATTTGTCTTCTTTTGGGTATCCTATAAGTAGCCTCTATGCCCTCCTTCGAATATAATTTCTCATTAACCTCCAAACAATAATTCCCCATTGCTCGTAACACCACTTCTTTTGCCTTAGCTTTGGCATCCTTGTATATAACAATATCCTCGTCGATCTAATCCCTGCTTTCAAGTCCTCATCCCACCGCAATGTATATTTAAACTACGTTGCTTTCCTCTTTGCTTGTGAGAAACAACTCTTCATCTTTAACCAAGTAAAGTCGGGTATGCTTGTGAGTCCCACTCTAAGCCTTTGACTACTCTATTAAGAAAGAGTAAAGATCTTATCTACTTTTATGTCCCACCATCTTTCTACATAGGAATCTAATGCTTAATGATAGACACAAACAAAAATAAAAATTGTCGCACAACCACTAAGTGGTGTCGTGGTGGCTTTGTGGGAAAGACAAAGATTATAGTAGTTTATTATACAAAGTTGTAGCAATGAAGATGATGTGGTTGGAGCTAGCCAAATGGTTTCGAGGGAAAATAACTCAAATATTTGAGGAATGCAATCATCCAAGTGACAACATTCAAGTTAACTTCATATTTGTTTTTCGTTTTTGTCTCACCCTTTTCATTATATTATGCATCAATATATATTTGTGTACTTGAAAAAGTATCCTATGTACGATGGCCTTTATTTCAGCCCCTTATTAGAACTTAGCATAGAATAAAAACTCGGTCGTTACGTCACGATGTGGCCGAGACATAACGGATTTGGAGCCTACCGTTACGAGATTTACCGTTTTGTAACGGAGTTTTAAAAAACTCCGCATTTTCGGCCGATACAGAGTTGAAACGGCCAAAAAAAGCTTGAATCCGTGAGTGGTGGTCGGATTTTTGTGGCAGACTCCATTGTTTCCGGCGTGTAGCAAGCCGTAGCAACCGCGTGATAGAGAAATAAAGCTGAGGGCTTGAGGCTGATAAGAACGATGTAAATTGTTAAGTGGGTCAGGTGTTATTAATTAAAAGGAGGTGGACAGTGTGGATACTCTCCACTATAGTTTTATTTAATATTTCGACTTTTTGACCATTCATCCTCTCTTTTTTACTTTTATTTTTTTTGCTTGAAAGTTGTTACTGTTTAATTACTATGTACTATGCTACTTTTATTTAATGAATATAAATACGGAGTATACCGGTCTGCGATCAACGCATCATTTCCAATACCATGACACCACGACCGTTTCCGCGATCGCGACCGATACCGCATTTTTATTCCATGGAACTTAGTGCTTGTTTGGTTGACAAAATTAAATGGAGGAAGTGAAAAATCATGAGAATTGGTAATTTGGATAGTTGTTTGGTTGACAAAAAAGCAAAAGTGGAGGAAGTTAAAATTCATGGGAATTTCATCATCCCACAAAATTTAGGAAGTAAATTACCAAGGTTCCCTTGATCAATCAAAATTCATAGGAATTTTAACTTCCCATTGTTACAACCAAACAACTTAAAGAAATTCCTTGGACATTAGAGAAATAACTTCCATGAAACTTCCAAGGGAATTTATCTCCCGTGTCAACCAAACGAGGCCTTAGTAGAATGGGGCTACGTCGATTATTACATGTGTAATAAACTTGGTAGCCCTTATCCACCATTCTTTTTCTAATACTTCGTGAGCTCTAAAAAATTGCAAGCCTTGTTCCCAAAAGATTTATCTCTTATGTGAGTTTATCATATTGATATAAGCTTACAAGTCCTCAAACTTAACACACATAACATCACATCATAATCGAGATATTTAGATTATGACCAGAGTAATAATTCACGGAAACACAATATTCTTAGAATAATAATATCATGTATAAATAACAAAATTTAACATCCTAATATTAATAACTTATCAGCTAAATGTTTGATTAAAAAAAATTAAAAAGGGATTGAGAGGGTGCCGCACCTGGGGCATAGAAGCTCAACATTCGATTAGCGTGGTACCTAATTATAGCATGTTAACATTATGAAATTAAAAGCCAGACCTAAACACTTAACAATATGAAATTTGAATACAACATAGTAACATAAGGTGGAGACAGACCATGGAATAATTTTGGAGTTGGGTTTGAGGATGTTATCAGGAATCCTTTTGTTGAGATCTCGGAGGATCTCGGCAAGTGGACGAGTGATGCAAGATGCAGATTTATCAAGTGGTACCACATAATTAGAGTTGGGGACTGCACCCTTCTTGGCATCTCCGCCACCGACGTTGTTCTTGTGATCTAGAGCTGCTACCATTAATCTCTGCTTGTAACCCACTTTTACTGGAGAAGAGAAGCTGCAGGGAGACCTCAATTTTACTTGGAACCGATTATCCGTTGAAGCTGATTTGGAGAACAAACTCGCATTTCGAAGTGCCATCACCACAGCGATAGACAATATGCTGACTTTCTCTTCACCTACTACGCCTATAGGATTGAAACACATCATTAACAAACAAAAGCTTTGGCATCACCTTATTTCCACTGCTAATACAAGGTAAATTCACATCAAATATTAGAAAAGGCTAATTTTGATATTTCAGAAAAAAATATTGCTTATATCAACTTTCTATTATGCTCAACATAAGTTCTAAAGTCTGATTTCATATACTCCTATATTAACGGAATTATTAATTTACCTTGGTCCAAATTCTAAATAACATCTAAACCGGGGTATGCTTGTACTCCTATCAAGAAAATTCGAATAAGGAAAAAAAATAAAAGAATCCGAAACTTCATACTACTAAGTCGTAATTAATTTTAATTTGATTGTTTAACGATGACTCATATTGCTTTGGGTACTCTAGTAGACAGAGAGGTTGGGAAATTTCTAAATTTCTTTTTTGAGATATATTGAACTATTGAAGCATGAAATAAGGAGTAGATCAAATTGGAAAATGTTGTACTACTACGTTTTATTTATGTTACATATTGTATCTAATTTGATGGGTTTCTTAAATTTGTATCTGCTTTTATTTGTACTAGATATTGTTGGGATTTATAAACATGAATTCATAAAACTAACCCCATAGGAGTATAGGAAAAATTGGACAGATTCATGAAAGGTAGCCATCATACATAAATTAGCTGAAGGAAAATGAAAAATGAAAGCAGGGGTAAAAAGGGTAACACCATACACACAAGTGCACACAAAGATTAAACCACAGAATGGAAAATAGAATTAAACTTGCCCCTTATTGGGTGTCAAGCTATATTAGGAGGACACACATCACACGACTAACATTGAGCTACTTCAATTTTTCCTATCCAAACAGCCTGCATTATGTTTATACGATTTACGCCAACTTGAAACTAAGTCAATTGGACCTAAGCAACTACTTAGCAGGTTCAAACAAAGGGACTCGGACTATGCAATGCATAGTTCATCGTAAACATTTTTAACATAGAGTAAAATACTCCCTCTGTTTTTCTAGTACAATTATGGTAGATACAAGAGTTTATAAGAGTAGAAGAGAATCAGGCCCGCAGGGCAGGAGGGGCGGCCGCCCTGGGCCCAGGGAAAAGAGGTCTAATTTCATTGTTCAATCCTAACATTAATAGGTTGTGCAATACATAAGCAACCAAATTTGATTCAATTATCTCGAAAAATCACATAATTTCAGGGATATTTGATTCAAAATTCAAATTAGGCTCATAAGTTTCTTTTCTTTTGGTTATGATGTTTCGTAATCTTAGAATTTAGAACCAATTTTCGAACCCTACACCTAATGCAATGACAATAAATTAGATTGTGAAATTGATATGATGATAACAAAAACAAAAAACTTACCTCAGAAGCTGCTTCAACGAGGGATACAAGTATAAGATTCAACGGAGAACGTGAACTGCGCTTCAACGGGAGAACGTGAACTGCGCTTCAATGGAGAACGTTTAGTGGCCTAGTGGGGGTTGGAGCTTGGAGGCCTTGGAACCCTATTAAAAGCCATGACCCGC